GCCAAGGATAATCCTAAAGGCCTAAGATCCAATATCTATTCTGTTTAAATAGAATCCAAATTCCCTGAGCCTACAGGTGTCATGAAAAATAGACAATGACACTTCGTCTTACATATGGAAAAACCTTCCATTTGATGCTATCTCTAAAATATGATATGTAATCAAATTAATCAACTATTGGTATTTTATACCAATCAAACTTCTGAATGGTAAATAATAGAGAAATTGTTGTGCAACATACATCTATTTACATACGTAGTATGAATGCCAACTATGTAAGAGGATATGAACCAATGTTTTCCAAATGGTAAACAGAATAAATGCTTTATTTAATATTGCTCATAAAAGTAGGCTTTTTATTTGATAATTAATACAGCTCACTAAAACATAACAAACTAATTAGCTTCTGTGTTTAGCTGCTTGAAATTGCTTGAAAGTGGAAACTTCTGAACTGTTTTCCAATAAATTTTGGATGAAACATCTTTGGATGTTTGCCTTGATGGAAAAACAATTTTCTTGTCTTCTGTACATAATTGATGACCAGACACTTTTTTGGTAGTTGATTTCCTTATATTGATTTGATTAATCATTCATCTGACTTTGTTATCCCTTCTAAATTGCATATGAACATGTGAGGGATTCCAAGATAGTGCTCTGCTTCTGATATCTTGAAAACTGGTATTTGCCACATTTTCTTCAATGTTTTATATGTGATTGTTTAAATAAAAACAATAAAATGTGCATCACATATGAAAACTGGAACACATTAAATATAATTATAAGACTAGCACTTCAATAAAAATATTAATTTGCAGTAACAAATTAGCATCCAAATGTTGTACTTTCAATGGGGTCTGCAAAACCCCATCCCTACACTGTTCATGCTGTGTATACAAAATGCAGGCTCTGGTGGCACAGGAACCTTCAGGAACAGGTTTTTGGTACTACTATGGGCTTCTGTTGAGGGCTCATCTATACTGACCACTTAAATCGATGTGTAATGTGATCAGCCTTGCAGTGGCTAGATGCTGCATGGTCTGTTTAATTCAGGGCAAGGTTGCCTTACAATGCCTTGCCCCAAGTTAAACTAAATGGGGGGGGGGGGACCCATCCTAACATAGGCTTCAGGCTTTCACCTGAGTATGTAGCCTGTGGACATAGTCCTCTGTCATCTCTCATTTTATGGATGGCCTGAGTTGTGACATCAAGTCTGCCTTTTCCTCAGACATGCTGCCTGGTGTCAGTCAGATCACCTTCATGCTGTGTGAGATGGGAAGGGAAGAGGGGGGCTTTCCCTTTCCCAACTCCCTTAGCACAACAGCACTCTGCCTGATATCAGGCATTGCACAGAAAACCAAGTAAGTTGTGCATAGTGGCTAGGTACTGCTGCAACAGAGGTAGGTCATGGAAGGACCTATAGGGTGGCTGTCCAGTAGGGTAGAATCATGTGCAATGTGGCTGGGCAGCAAGATATCCCTGCTTCCTCCAAGGCAACTAAAGGAATCACTGTAAGGACACCTTGTAGGTCCACTCTGGCATCTGGAGGCCTTTTCACACAATCATATAATGTAGAATATCAAGGCAGAAAATCTCACAATATCTGTTTTGTACTGAGTTATCTGAGTTCACAACGTCATATATTCCAGTTCAAAGCAGATAATGTGGGATTTTATTCAGATGTGTGGAAGGGGCCTGGGACAGGAAAGGGGGAAGAACGATTCTGCTGTTATTGGCTATGGATAACACCATTACATTTCAACTCACCACATCAGAAGATAGTTGTTGTTTATTCGTTCAGTCGCTTCTGACTCTTCGTGACCTCATGAACCAGCCCACGCCAGAGCTCCCTGTTGGCCGTCACCACCCCCAGCTCCTTCAGAGTCAAGCTAGTCACTTCAAGGATACCATCCATCCATCTTGCCCTTGGTTGGCCCCTCTTCCTTTTTTCTTCCTTTTCCCCAAACATCTAATACCTTGTATTTTCTAAGTTTTTCTGTCTTCTCATTATGTGGCCAAAGTACTTCATCTTTGCCTCTAATGCCCTTCCCTCCAATGAGCAGTTGGGCTTTATTTCCTGGAGTATGGACTGGTTGGATCTTCTTGCGGTCCAAGGCACTCTCAGAATTTTCCTCCAACACTACAGTTCAAAAGCATCTATCTTCTTTCACTCAGTCTTTCTTATGGTCCAGCTCTCAGAAGGTAGCATGTTTTCATTAATGATACAGTATTATAAAGTTAAACCTATGAGTGCTCATTGCAATAGCTTCTTACTGACAAGGTTTCATTTTCTAGTTTTAATTTTCTAGGTGCAAGCAAATCACAAAGGCAGGCATTTCAAGAGAAAGGCTTTAACTTGATATGTGTTTTGCCGATCTTGCAAATCTAAGAATAAACCTTGTGGTTTGCAAAGACTTTTCACTATGTAACTAAGTGAGAGCTCAGATTTGAAGACACAAATTGCACTAAAAGGAAGGACATTCTCAAACTATTTACCATGTAATCCTTCTTCAGGAAATTTTACACCAGGCAGAAAAGCAGGGAGAAAACAATTGCATTTGTACAAGGTCACTGAACAGGTCTTCTGTGGTATTGTACAGCTGAACCTAGTTAATCTTGGTTCCATCTGCCACCAACAACTGTAACAATTCTTTGAAGTAGCAGGTAATTAGATGAGCGCTCTGACTGGGTTTTCATACCTACTGACACATTTGGAGTAAAGGACAGTATTTGTTCTACAATATTTAATTTGCTAAAGAAGAATAGGTATACAAGTTGAAAGATCCTGCTGGCAATAAGAAACAAATCCCCAGTAAAGAAGATTACTTATGATTATTAACTGGGATTATAGTTGGGGTGGAACTCTTGCTTATATAATGCAAATCCATCTGATTTTGCAAGCCTGTGGATCCATACAGCCTAAACAAATGAAAAGCATATGCATTGTTTAAGCACATCTTTACATGTTTTCTGTCTGATATAAAATCAGGTCTTGCTTTTCTTTGCCCATTCTTTGTATACTGACAGGCATTATGGTTAAATACTATAATGAATGAGTCTTCAATCATCTTCCACAGATGTTTTGTCACACATGCTTTATGTTTTTTGTTCTGATAGTGTGAAAATAGTTTCAAGCAGCCACTTCAGTATTGTTGCAAAAAGGCAGTTAAAGTGGCAATAGATAGAAGAGAGCCAGTGGTTTGACTATGGTTCTGCACACTAGAGTCCAAATCCTTGTTCAGCCATGAAACCCACTGGATGACCTTGGGAATGTTGCACTCTCTCAGCCTCAGGTGAAGGCAATAAAGTTGTGTGTGGAATTGATTTATTCTGTTTCCTTCATTTCTTTCATTTCTTTTGGTATTTTGGGGGCACAAAACAGGAAGGCCCCTCCCTCTATGGAAATCAGCTTGACACAAAAGCAAGCAGGAGCAGGTCCTGGTTCCTGGCATCACAGTTTAATCTTTTATATTAATCCTCCAGCAAACAAAAAGTAAACCCACATTCTCTGAAAACTACTCTCCTCTTCCAGGTCATTGCTCTTACCTGGAAATGGGAAGCCTCCTTAAAATGCCTTGGAGAGTGCGTGTCTGGCTAGCGTGGTGTAAGCCAGGAGAGAAAGCACTCATGCCTGCAGCCAAATACCTCTCAGAACTTGCCTCCTTGCCTTGGAAAGAAAGTGTGTGTGTGGCGTGCAGGCCCAGAAAGCTTGTGTACCTGATAGTGCCTGCAGCCGAGTGTCTCTTACTCTAGAGTAGGAGGTACTCAGTTGCAGGCGTGCCCACTTTCTGCAGCTGCACACCTTGGGAAAAGAGTGTGAGTGTGGCATTCAGACTTTCTAGGTCTGCACACCACACATGCACTCTCTTTCCAACAAGAGTACCTGTGTGATGTGCAGGTCCAGAAAATACGCATGCCTGCCAGTGCCTACAGACAAGCACCTCCTCTAGAGTAAGAAACAGAACTTGCCTCCTTGCCTCGGAACATGTGTGTGTGTGTATGTAGTGTGAAGCAGGTGTCTGTCAGTGCCTGCAGCCAAGTGATTTCTCTAAAGTAGAAACAGCAGGTAAGAAGAAGCCTCCTTAAAGTCTGCACTGGGAAGAGGAGCCTGGGTGGGAAGCCCATTCCCCATAATGGTTCAATAGAAACCAGATCTTTTGGCACCCCAGAGGGAAAACAGATATCTGCCCTCCCAATTTTGGGAGGTTCCCAAAAAACTGATCGGGGCCCCCACTGAAAGCCAGGACACGAAACAGGTGAAGGTTTACCCCAAATGCATAAACCTAGAAGGCAATAACAACTCACTTCTGAATTCATTTTGCCAGGGAAATCCCAGGTTTGTCTTAGGTTTACCATAGGTTGGAAAACATTTGAAGGCACAGAACGAACATATAGAACTGATGTAAAGCCATTCTCAAATGCTTGCTTCTATAGAATTATGCCAGTGATACCTTTTTTGCAGTACAAAGTGGAGGTTTGTAAAGGTCATAATTTTTCATCTTTTTTTTTGACATCTTGCTATTTGCAAAAGGATTTTCTGTTATTTGATACTCCTAGGAGCCATTCTGGAGCAGATTATTCTGGATGCATACTGTAGAGGGAAGAAGTCATGTTGTGTTTGTGTGACTTTGGATTCACCTCTGCATCTCCCACCACATGAGCTTCTTAAAACATGTGCAGTGGCTTCACTTCTTTGGAAGACTCATTTAGGCACTTAAATGAATATATGTACAAGACAGGCCCTTCCTGGGAAGTGGAAAGACTTCCATATGTGTAGGAGAGCTGTGTTTTCAGAACAGCTTCTTTCTTTAGACTGTATTAATTACCTGTCTGGTATATGTATGGTTATCCTTTGGTCCTTTATTTTTGAATTGATTTTTATTCTATGTGTGTTATGAACAAACATATTTTATTACTAATAAAACAGATTTTGGTATATATCTAACAGATCCTTATATTAGGAATGCTATGGTCTTTAAATAAATATGCCTTTCTTTTCACAGAGGTATTTCCAAGAGAACCCAACTTAAAAGACAAGTTCATAAAACACTTTACAGGTAAGAATAATTGAAGGGGATTTGTTTGTTTAATCATTTGCAGATCCTGCTCATATCAATGAAAGCATTTGTGCCCCTTTTCCCATTGGAGAAAGCCCATCCTGGTCTCATTTTTTTCCTAGCTGATTATCTTAGCTGCATTCCAGGGGGTTACATTTCTAATAAGACCCATAGGAGACACAAAACAATCACAATCCTGCCCTAAGCCTCTTATCTGTTGGCAACTAATTGCCACCAATTGAATTTTCCTAAACAATTGTTTTCTATCAATGGATTAGAAAAGTTAGGTGGAGCAGAAGCATATGCATAAAATGTTTCTATAATAAAATATATATTTTTTTAAAAAAATAAGCACAATTTCTGCCTTTTCATTATTTCAGTAGCTTGTGTTCTAATAATAACTTAAGAGTATTAATTATGATTGCATTGTGAATGCAGACATTAAGGGTTTTTTTTAAAAAAAACATATTGGGTTGAATCCAATTTAGTCAGTTTTAGAATATATGTGTTGAAATCACTAATTAATGCCATTGATCTCAAATAGCTCTGTTTTATGATGAATCTGGGTGCAATCTATTAGATTCGAAGCAAACATGAGCTATTAAAATTACAACTCACATTAGCTAGTTCACAATGGTATTAAAATAACATTAATTGGAATTAAATGTTTCATTCTTACAGGTCGAGTTACTTTTTCAGCTGAATGTAGTAAGCATTTCCACCGACTGTATCACAATACACGGGATTGCTCAACACCAGCCTGTAAGTTATAGCTAAAATCTTAGATATGTTTTTGCCTGTCTGTCTTGAATGAGAGATGGCCAGTTCTTAGCATCAGACTATTTCTCTTGGCTCTCGTTGAACATGGGTGTTACGTTCCAGGACCACTCGTGAAAAGTGAAAATCCATGAAGTATGGATGCTATATATATTTCACTCTGAGGGTGAAGCAGAAGCAAGGAGAGATTTTAAGGCACCACTCACCTTTTTTTTTTTGCTAGCTATAAGGAAGGAGCTATAAGGCCATGATTAACATACTCCTTTGTATCTCCTCTCTCTATTTTTTATATTGGCTGTCTCTCTCCTAAGGGGGAGCATGAAACTCCCTTCCACACCCCATTATTGCCAGGAGGCAAAAACCCACAAAATAGCAAGTCTGCAAAAAGTGAACTGCGAAGTAGCAAGGGAACGCTACTCCCAGAATTCAGTTTTCCTTTATGCGTGTAGTGGTGATAGCAGAGGAGTTCAAGTAATTAAACTAATTTCAGTGTATTGCTGAACAGGCAGTGCCTGAGTTGCAAACATCCAACTTACAAATGACACATTGTTAAGAACGGGTGAGATAAATGAAGTGAGATAAATCTTCCCCTCAGAAGTGAAATTCACTTCTGAAAGAGTTATTATCATGTGGAAAATGTGCCTCCACTGAAGCTTTATCACAAATCTTTGTTTCAGCAACAAGCCATTTTTTTCAAAATTCAGTAGTCACACTGACAGAAAGTGAAGTGAAATCTTCTGAACAGGGACACAGATAGCAAAACAAACACCACAGGGGGACAGTGAGGGGTGATTAGTGGGGTGGGCGAGCAGGATAGGTAAGCTTGGGGGGGGTGGGGGGGGGTAGGCAAGCAAATTGTGGGGTCAGGCAAGCGATTGAGTGACAAGGGCGGGCAAGTACGTGAGCAAGCGTGGGGCAGTCGGGTGAGTGAGCAAGCAAGCAAGGAGGCAGGCAAATGGCTAAGCATGTGGTGCATGAGTAAGCAAGTGAGCAGGCAAATGGGTGAGCGAGTGGTGCATGATGGTTAGTGGGGGTAGGGTGATGGTGCACATGCCAGGAGGGTGCTGTGTGCCCCTTCTGGCACACGTCCCATAGAATTGCCACCACTGTTCTAGGATGAGACAATTTTAATTTGAAATTTGTAATATTAGTGATGGAAAAAAGGTGCAGTGGCAGAGTGCCATTGGCTTTTCCAGTCGTTCAAGCAGCAGAGTACTTACCATGTATTCTCATGTATATGTCTAGACATTTCAGTCAAAAAATCAACTGGGTTAGTTATACACAAGTCAATGTGAGTTCTTTTTATCAAAAAAGAAATCATTCCCCTTTTTTGAGGAGAGTGGCAAAAGGAAAGAGCTTAATTTGTCTCGTGAGAACCTAAAAGAAACATGAATCTCCTCCAGTCTTTCTGCTTCTTGCTTTATGGAATTCCTGCATGGGGAAATGGCCATCTTGGATCTCTGAAACAGCAGTTGTCTTATTAGTTTTACTGGATCAGTCAGCCTGGGTAAAGGAAAGTGAGCATTTAATCACCAAAGTACAAACTGTTCGTCATGCATAGCCACATGGGTGATTTTGTCATCCTCGCTCCCATTTCTTTATGACTCAAGTTTAAGATAATTATCAGTTGAGTTAGTTCCTCTATATGTAACTGTTTCTTCAAGATAGAGTGATGTTTGTAATCACTGAGCAGAAGTTTTGTCCTGGGAAGTAGTCATATGCCTAGAAGCTTCAGAGCCATTGGCCATAGAGCCACCTCTATTTTTGAGTATTATGTTTATATAATTGCACTTCTACTCTTTATGACCAGTACTTTAAGGAATGGCAATGCTTGAAGTATCAGTTTACATTAAATAATACATTCCAACATAGGAATTTATTATACAGTGTAAACTGATGTTTCAAAATTCTTATTCAGCATGGTATATTGTTAATAAATAAATAATCATTTGCATCTTTGAAATGCTTTCAAATGTGACAGTAGATTTCACATTTGAAAGTAGGCATTGGCAAACTTCAGCCCTCCAGGTGTTTTGGACTCCAACCCCCACAATTCCTAACAGCCAGTATGCTGGCTAGGATTTCTGGAAGTTGAAGTCCAAAACACCTGGAGGGCTTAAGTTTGACCATACCTATTCCATAGGCTTTGGAGATATCCCTCCTACTGCCATTGATCAGTGCAGTCCTGTTAGCAAAGCAAAAAGCAAATCTATTGGAGGCCAGCTTGGTGTTGCAACAGGTTCTGGCCCAGCTTACCTGTCTGATGGCATCTCCTGCTATTAACCATCGCATAGTCTAAGATTGACGGGAGAGGCCCTGCTCTCAGTTCCACCATCCTCGCAAACATGACTGGTGGAGATGAGAGACTGGGCCTTCTCAGTGATGGCCCCTCACCTGTGGAACTCTCTATCCAGTGACATTGGGTAGAGAGTTAGAATCAAACTCAAAACCTGGCTATGGGATCAATCAAACAGTACAGGCAGCAATTTAGAATGAGACCCAATTTGTATGAATGACAGTGGACTGACCTGGACTATGATTTCAAACCTGCATGATTTAAACAATGTTTTAGGAATTTTAAAGCATTAACAAATTGCTTTAATTGCTTTTATCATTTATTACTGTTGTTAGCATTGAATGAATGCTTGTTGTGAAGCTGCCCTGAGTCTCCCTCCAGGGGTGTGAAGGACGGGATACAAATATGTTAAATAAATAAATAAATAAATAAACAAACTATAATCACTGAAATCTTTGCACTGGAAAGCAAAGATAAAATAACCTATTGGTATTATATTGTAGTTTACATACAGTTTAAAAAAATCCAAACCTTCATTATGAAGTTAATAATGTATTAACTTCCATTTTCTCGCTGGAAATTATTTACTTCTCTTTGAATAGACCATCCTTAACTACTTTGTTTCTGTGGCTTTAAATAGATTATAAAAGGTGTGCAAGGTTGCTGACAAGGTTAGCAATGAGTCCACTGTGTACGCAGCCATAAGAGGCCTGTTACGTAAGTATTCTTTCTAATGTTTTGTAACGTAATGGCTAGTTTGATCCTATTAAGTTATTTTTACAGGCACCAAACAACAATGAAATCCTGTACAAGTTCTTTCTTTTTTCCTTTCAAATACGTTGGACTTACTGCCTTCTCCAATGTATAATTCAGTGTCCCCAAGTTAATTATTTGTAGTTTTCTTACTGTAATGATAAAGGGCTATTTTTGTTTTTCAAAATTTGCATATGATTTTAAATGCGTTTGTTTTTCTATATTATTGTTATTATTATTATTATTATTATTATTATTATTATTTTATATATTCTACCTTTTCTCTACCGAAGGAAGTTCAATGCAGGAAGTTCAATGTGTGGATTAATATAGAATTAACATTAAACATAAAATATAAAAAGCAATAAAACCATCAAATAAATTTACTGAATTACATAAAACACAATATTTTAATCTGCCTCGAGTCCCTGTTTTGGGAAAAATGTGGGCCTTGAGGAAAGCTAATCAGTCAAAATGCCAAAAAGAGATCAGCGATGAAGAAGGGGGAGGTTTGGAAAGTTAGGGAAAGCTGACACAGTTTGAGTCCTTCCTTCCACTATAGACATCTCCTGTAAAAATGAAGTATGCCAAGCCCTCCGTTCTCTACCCTCTCACTTTGACTTTTAGCTTTAAGCTGTAATTGTTTCATCAGTTTTGTACTGCCACAAAGCAGCATACCTCTACATTAATGCCAATGATATTAGCACTGAAATGCAAGACAGGGAGAGGTGAGTTGAAATGCATATAGCCAGTCCCTTGCCCTGGATTTATTTGCTTCATCTTTTACCCATGGCTTATGTTCAAAGCTGTTTCTAATATGACTGCAGCTGGCAAACTTCATTTAGAACAGCTGTTTGAAATGGATGAAATGTTTTTGCACTATCACTTCTCTCAGGGGATTCTTACCGTGGGTTCTTTAGCATCCATTTCAGGACCATGGAGAAGTCTATAATTCAGGCATAGTTTCAGTTTCGCACAAATGCTTCAAACTGCAAAACAGGTTGCTCTCAACTTTTTCAGATCCCGAAACTTTGTTGAAACATTATTTTTCATCAGTTCAATGTTATATGTATTAGGAAACAAGGCACTAACATTTAAAAGACACAGACTCTTTTAATAAACACACACAGGGGAGTATGGTCAGGACAGCAAGTCTACATATGCTTTTTGTATAAACTGGAGCCTTGCTTTTTATGGTCTTAAGATGTCTGGAGAGTATCCAGTGTGTATACATTTGTATCAGCTTTGCTCTGGTCTTCAGTTGAAGTTGCAGGAGCTTAGGTTGGGGCAGAGCATAGAAAAGTTACATTTTTGATTACTATTTCCAGAATCCCCAATGTTGGCTGGGGAATTGAAGAAATTGTGGTCCAAAAATGTATTTTCCAAGCTCTACTTTAGTGCCATTTTGCCATCTTCATACTCTTAATATATAGCTGGAAAAAGTTTGTAGTAAAACATTGAGAGTTTAGCAAACATGATCTTATAAATGCCTTGGATTTAAACTAAAAATACTAATATTGAATCACTGTAAAACTTATTTAACTACAGCACAATTATTTTCCTTTCAGGTGTTCCTGCTAAGTCTGAACTCTGGTTTGCCGAGAAAGTGCCTTGAATTCAATCCCAAGACAGTAGAGGAGAGACTACATTTTTTTGATTTGCAGCCTCATTTTGCTACTAGAAGCATTTTATTTTCCTACATGATGGACATTTCATGTTTGCGTGAAAGTACATATTTTATTTGTATTTGTAAATATGTTGCCTATAGCTCAAATAAGCCAATTTATTTAAATATGTTGTATATAAAGACTACTAATAATATACTAATTAAATGTAATAATTATATGCAGGGAGTTGGTTAGTGTTTGCTGTTCTCTGGTTTCATTACATGTACACCATTTTGCTCAGGCTCTTTCTTTCATTATTTGCACTAACTTGAAATGCAGAAATCTGTGTAACTGAAATCTGAATAAGCTGCAAGAGGGATGTTTTACTTTCCGTGGAAAATATATTAAGAAGCTTTGGTAATATATATGCCTATATAGTGTATATATTATTACACATCAGAACAAAATGCACATTGCTTTGGGGAACATTTTTAAAAGCTGTTCTGGATTATCTTCAGTTGCGCTTGTACTGGCATTTATGGAAAGAGTTGCAAATAATGTAAATATAAAAGACTGGAAGACTGCAATGCAGTTTGGGTGGAATAAAATCGAAATATACTATCATTTTGATGTGTTTATTGACACTTTGGTTGTACTGGATATAATTATTCAATACAGTTTAGAAACACATCTATTAAAAAAGCCTTGCCTGACTTACCGGACAGGAAGAATATGGCTGCGGGCACTCTTCCGCCTGCCATTTCCCTGGACCTTCTCCTTCCCGGGACTTCAATCTGATTAGATCCCTTTGGTGGACCTGAGTGAAGACCTTCACTCAAGTCCACTACTGGGCTAACTGCCCAGATTCTCAGTTGCCCTCTGCTGCTAACAAAGGTAATAGAAGTAAAGCAATAGCAATTTGTATTCCATTTAAGAAAACCAACAAGAACATAGAGTCCATGAAAACTCAAGCTTGCTATATCCTGTCTGAAGCTCAGATAGTCTCTATATTTTCAGAGCTGGAGATATCAGTAGGCATTGGATGAGACAAAGTATGCCGATGGAAACTGGAGGAAATAAGCCTTGGAAAAATCAAGACGGTGTTATCTTAATCTCTTCTTCGTCTGGTGTAAAATGCCAAAGCTGAGCAGTTGTGTCAGTGTTCCTCAAGCATTAATGTCACATCAGATGTAAGCTAGAAATATGAGGCATATAGAGCAGTTATGGGAAAGGCTGCAACCTCTTGCCTGCAAGTGTTCCTAAGCAAAACCAATAGTGCACTAAGTCACATGCTAATTTTGTAACTATCCTTATTAAATTTGTGTTCATGAGTTGTGAAGTTGAACTGTCAGTCCAAACTGAAATTAAATAGATACACTACAATATATAGGAATATATCAGAAATTTTAAAGGGATGAAGAGAGTACATAACTCTGTTTAAGCATGGTTAGTAATTCACATAGTTAAACATTAAGAATTGCAGTATTGCCATAGGAATTCTGATCCAGGATTGTGTAAGTCACATAGAATGCTGAACTGAAGTAGACAAGGAGGGTTCATTCACAAGATTGGGTAACCATATCACCCCATTAGAAGTGAAAGCCAAGAGCCTTTACCTGACTCTTGCTGTTCTTCATCTTGGTTTATTCTTAATTCTTTCTGACATGTTATTTCTATTAAAAATCTTCATTTCCTCATGTATTATTTTATTGATATATTATTTGTGACACAATTGCCAAATCAAGAGACGTGGCAGTGAGTCATCACATTGCACAAAAATGTTGTTAAGGCTATTTTTGTATCACAATTTAATTTAGTAATCATTTGGACATACTGCTAAAGATGAAGAGAAAAAATATTGAGAGGGATGAAGCAAAACAAATGCTTCACATAGGATCACATTCAGTTTTTGCTGAATGACCAAGGTCTGAATGGGGATCCAAATCCTGGCCTCCCTATGCCCTACTTCAACACTCAGACCACTACATTACATTGGCTGTCTAATGCTAAATATTAAATGACTCCATTGAGACTGTTGTATCTTTCCTCATTGTCTATTGCACATCATGATATCATTTATAGAGTGTACAATATGTCAGTTGACTGTGAGTACATTGTACAGACAGTCCCTGTGTTACAAACATTTGACTTACAAAGAACTCATAGTTCAGAACTTTGAGAGGGGTGAGAGAAATCTTCCTCTAGGAGGAAGAGAAATCCACTCCAGAAAGAGTTATCATGGGGGAAAGTGTCTCCATTGATGTTTTATAACCAATCCCTGTTTCCACAACAAGCCATTTTTTCCCCAAAATCCGATTCTCACAGGGACAGAAAATGAGGTGTAATCCTCTAAACAGGGGCATAGACAGCAAAACAAACACCACAGAGGTGTTTAATCTATCCAAAGCTTAGATATAGATATACAGTAGGCTGGAGATACACTTTAAAATGTACCTGTTCTGACTTACATACCAATTCAACTTAAGAGTAACACTACAGAATGTATCTTGTTTGTAACTTGGGGACTGCCTGTATTGGGTTAAAATGCATCAGAAACATTTCAAACAGTTTATATTTTCTATAACATTTTTGTTGCCAATAGTAGTTACTGCACATCCACTTGTGCTGAGACACAGGTGATTCCTTAACTAAGACATACTTTAACTATTTCAATGCCTTAAGCTACAGTGATGTCTCCCAAGATCAGAATTCATTCAAATCTAGGGCACAACTTTTTTCTCGACCTCTTCCTCGATTGGCAAGGTTGAACACAGAGGCTTCTATCTCTACAGATTCGTATGAGCTGATTGGTCATTCCTGTCCAGAAAGACAATTCTAGGCCAAGCCCCACAAAACCTTATAACTTTGTTGTGAGTCTGCCCCACAATTGTGCCAAAGGTTATTCCTTTTCTAATCCAAGGACTTCTCTAATGCTAGATCCAAGTTGAGGAACTCCTTTTTCAATCAAAACTGTCTAATGAGTGCCCACTATTACCCATTCCTTCTCCATATTTTTGCACTAAATGTTGTGTAAATTATGTATGTATTAATGAACATACATTAATCAATTATACCTGTACTAATAAGGCCCTCCCTGCAGCCATTCCTTCTATCCATCTTGTGAGATGACCCAAACATTCTTTTCTGATCCCAAGGAAACCATCTAAGCAGGGGTCCTCAAATTTTTAAAGTACAGGGTTGGTTCACAATCCCTCAGACAATTGGGAGGAGAAGCATATTTAATTGTGTGCATGTGCATAGACATGTGCTGTGCATGTGTTGAGTGTGCATGTGTGTATTGGGAATGTGTATGTGTCAGCTGTGCATGCATGTATCAACGTAAGTCTTGAATTGTGGAATTTCTGCTTTTTGAAAAGTTTCTTAAAGAGGGGGAAATTGCCAAAAAATTTTTTCTCATGTCAGGAGCGACTTGAGAAATTGCAAGTGGCTTCTGGTGTGAGAGGATTGGCTGTCTGCAAGGACGTTGCCCAGAGGATGCTTCCTTCACCAAGAAAATAATTGACAAATTATAGCCCTAGATTACACCCAGCATCCCTTCCCATCCCATTCCAGATTTGTCCTGTCTCAACCGCTCTGAAGGATGGTGCGGAGGCAAAAAATTTGTAACACTAGTGGTATCACTCAAATTACAAAAATATATATATTAGCATTCATATTTTTGTCTTTGTAGTCTCACAATAATAATGCCTCTTTTCCTAGATGAGAAACTTTTCTTCATTAAATACTTTGTGATACATTATCATACCCTTTATATAGCTAAATAAGGGCAGAAAATTAGGCGATGAAATCTTTGTGATCCCACCCTTGAGAAATGAGGCAATATGAATATGCATTGAAATTCCATAAAGTTGCAAAACAATCTCTGAAAAATTGATGTTGATGCAAATATGAAGGGAAAATCTTATCTCAAATTGCCCCTAGCGATTGCAGGAAATTCATCCTGATGTCCCCACACATCTGATATCAGAGCTCTAACTCAGTAGAGAGGAAAATTATGCTTGGATTATGTTAGGGGAGGAAAAGGGCAACATTTGTTTCTGAGTGACACAAAGATTTCTTTACCTCAAGTACAGACAGTCTCCAAGTTACAAAAATCCAACTTACATATGACACAGTTAAGAACAGGGGAGAGACAACAGAAAGTGAGAGAAATCCACGCTAGGAAGGGAAGTTCACTCCAGTAAGAGTTATCATGGGAAAACATTGTACCCACCGAAGCTTTAGCACCAATCCTTCTTTCCATGACAACTCAAAATGTTCAAAACTCAATTACACTATGTAACAAAATTTGAAAAATTAAAAAAAAACTCCAACTAGAACATGTCCAGAGATGGGCAACCAAAATGATCAAAGGTCTGAAAACCATGCTCTATGAAAAGAAGCTTTTGGAACTGGGTATGTTTAGCTGCAGAAGAGAATGTTGAGAAAAGACATGATAGTTATGTTTAAATATTTGAAAGGATATCATAAGGAAAAGCAAGCAGATTTGTTTTCTGTTGCCTTGGAGACTAGGGGCTGTTCCACATAGCACATTAATGCGGGTGCAATTGAGTTTTTTAAATGCGATTGGACTTGCATTGAAGTCCACACATGCCTGAGAAAGTGTGTGTTTTCTTGGGGGGGGGGGGGAGATGTCCACATGCCCTGCTGGGCTTTCCAGCAGGGCACCAGGACAGAAAACACCTCCCCAAAAGCCCTAAAAATGGTAAAGAACTTACCAGGCCACCGTTAGACCTTGGAGCACACTTCTTGGAATGTACCAAGTACACATGAGGAACTGGGGGGGGGGCAAGATTTGGCCCTCCTCACTTCCTCACACATAATGGTACATTCCAGGAAGTGTGCTATGAGGCCTAATGAAAGCCCAGTAAGCTATTTTATTTTTAAAGGGTTTTTTTTGGGGGGGGGGAGGTTGGGGAGGGGGTGTGAGCCCTCTTAGTTTTCTGGGCTGATTCAGCCCAGAAAAATGTGAGATGGCTCTCTGGATTGTCCTCTCACAAGTCCAGGACTTCTGAGGGGGCAGTCCAGACAATGGTCATAATGGGTTAGAGTTGGGTCTTTCAAGAAGGCACAGATCTAACCAACTATCAGTTACCTTGACACAAAACAGGGTTTTAAATTACAGGAAAGGAGATTACACCTGAACATTAGGAAGAACTTCTTCACTGTAAGAACTGTTCAACAGTGGAACTCCCTGGCTTGGATTGTAGCAGAGGCACTTACTTTGGAAGCTTTTAAACAGAGGCTGGATGACCATTTTTTGTGGGTACATTAATTGTGCTTTTCCTTCATGGCAAATGGTTGGACTGAATGGCCCATATGATTTCTTCCAACTCTGTGAATCAATGATTCTAAGAAGTTATCAACATGAAGAGAAGCATGCTTATTAATAAAACTAACCAAGTCAGCCAACTAAATACTTAGACCGCTGGTTCCCATCGTGGGGAATACACCCCACAGGGGGGACAATTTGATGTTTAGGAGGGACAATTCAAGAACTAGTGTTTTGCATATTTATGGTTCTAGGGGCTTCATACACAGTACATAAATATATATTGTAACATACACATTTTAAAAATTAAAAGCTGAATGTACATGACTGT